GAGTTTTTTTCCGAATAAAATGTTCAGACTTGTATGGTTTCAGCTTAGTTAACTTATTTTTTTTTTTTAGGTTTCGATTGCCAGAAAGTCTTGTTCAAAAAACCAAGTATTATGAAAGTGTATTGGTTTAGGTTTTTTATACTTGCTTTTTTGAGATGCTTTAGAAAGTTTCTTCACTTTTGTCAATAATTTTATTTCCGTAGATAACATCTCTGCCAATTTTAAAGAAGAGGCGTACCAATGCAATGACCATCAAATCCGATGGTTGCCTGGGTTCTTCCCCAATATCTTTGTTCATTACTTTTCTGTCTACAGCCTTCAAAAAAATCTGTGACGGAATATTTGAACCATATCTTCGGATTTTTTTCGTTTTCTCAAAAATCGCTCATCCAACCTGACGTTTCGGGTTCAATGGACAAAAAGGGTCGTAAGAAGCACCACTGCATAAGCGGTTACGCTCTTTTTCATCCGTAAAATTTACGTCTCTTGTTTTTTTTATTCAAAAAAAACATGCCCAAATCTAAGGTTTTGGATTCTACCTAAAGACCGCTTTGTCGGAAACTCTTCTGCATGTGCGGTTTTGCTCAATATTTTTAACACAAAAATTTAAAGTTCACGGAAAGGTCTAATTTTTTTCAGTTTTGACCGTTTGTTTGAAACTCATTGACTTTTCTGTAGTACACTCCAGTCAAATCTTGAGATTTTGCCTTTAGTAGATAGATTCATAGAAATTATAGCTTATGTGAATACCTTATGCATAAGCTTTTGCGGCCAAACAGTTTGATACAACAAGGTATGATTCAGATGCAAATTAGTTTTTTGAACATTTGACCGTTTTTAGGAATATTTTTACCAAAAGAAAATACCCTTAAATCCGAAATAAAGGCTTCAAATGAGAGATCCAGGTGGGAGATTTTGGTTTGCACAAGTGTCGTTCTTTCATTTTTATGTGATTGATAAAAAAGCAGTTTCAAAAAAATTTTCACGTCTCTCTTTTATTTAAGTAGTAAAACCTTTTTTATTGGCGTTTTATTGCAAATAATGCGAGACTCCGCATTACCTCTGTATTGAAAATGTGCGCAGAAAAAGACGGAATAATTCGTCTTCAATTAGTCATTCTTGCATAATATATCATCTGCAGATTCCGATTTTATGACTGAAGAACACGACGTGACACAAGCTCTCACATTAATGAAAATTAATTAATTAATTAATGAAAATAGTAAATAAACAAAAACAGCGAATTTACAAGGAGGTGTGTTTTTCAGATTGATATGTTTTTTTGACAAAAAAATAGGCAAAAACAGTTAACGTTGCTTTCGAAGAAGGAAATTTAAATTGCAAAATGGGGGCAAAAGAGCAAAATGGGGGCAAAAGAGCAAAAGAGACAAAACTCAAACTTTCTAAGTTTTTGCTCTGAATTTTTTATGAAATTGGACTCACACTGTGTAGTTGTTGATCTTAGTACATTTTTGCGCGACTGATCCTCGAAGGAAACGTAATTAACGAATTCATGAAAAAAATAAGGAAATATCCTAAGTCAGGCGGTAAAATGGATGACACGCCTGTTGTCTGTTTCTCCAAGCGTCATTTCATGAAGTAAGCCGCTGTTTTGGCAAAAAATTGTTGATGTGAAACTATTTCTGAATTAGATTGTTAAAATTCAAAAACAGTTTTTACAGTGATTTTTTGATATCCAGGTCCAGCGTGTTAGAAAAAACTACAAATGAACAATACTTTTCGTGTCAGGGCGAAGCGTTGATTTTTTTCCCTCATTTTAACGTCCATTAAAAAGAATAAAAACAAGGAAATAAGAAACGTCCCTTTTTTTCTTCTCACAATTTAAGTTAAAGTTTCAAACTGTATTTGTCAAACTGCAAGCGGATTTCAAAACAGACTAAACTCATAATTAACGCGAAATTAGTAAAAACGCTAGTTTTTTCTTTGAACTCCGTTGTTTCGGTTTTCACGATCAAATAGCTAAAACACACAGTATTGCTCAAAATTGTCTCAAAATTAGCTCGTTTTGCAAAATCTGTAATATTTTTTGCGGAATTTGCAACAGGTTGTTGAATCCGCAAAAGACCAGAACAAATGAAAAGTAAAATTGTTCTCTCGTTTAACTTGCAACTCTGAGCAGAAATCGCAAGTGGCTAGCGGAATCCGAAAACTGATAGCAGAATTTGAAAATTAATTGACGAGAGAATTAACATAAAAAAAGACGTTTTCAAATTAAATTCGTTTTTTTTTACCAGTAATCGTACCGACTAAAATAGTATAAAGGGTACTTTTTCCAGCACGCACGACATTTCTCCTAGTAGAAATCAAAAATTGCAGGATCAGATCCAAACGTTGAACTGCAACTTGAGTTTCAGGATTTCGGCTGAAAGCTGTGGTACAGCAGCTGGGTATCTATGTTGAATTTTAATAAATCAGACAAAGTGATTAAAATCTAAACACAGTTTCAGGTTATAGAATGAAATGACTAATTACACTTTGATACCAAAATTTCCAAAAGATTTTTGTACCTGCAGTACCCCGTTGGCGCAATAAATGTTTAATGCTAATCCAAAAAAGTTATTTTACCGATTCGGTGCGTTTCCCAATTTCCATCTCAAAAACTAATAGCTGAAAACTTTTAGGAACTACATCAGCGATTTCAGATAGCCAATGATGCAATAGTTGTTCGTGGATTTCACTGACAACGGCTAACTCCTTGCTTTTAATTTCCGCATTTGCTAGATAATATTTTAACCTCATATATTATTTGTTTACAAACGAGCTTAGTTAAGTGTAACAAACAAACTGCGGAATTCATTTAAATTTCGAGGAATACGTCTACATTTTGCGGGACTGATACATTTGCAAACTCCGTAAAACTTAGTAAACTTCGCTGGTTGAGAATCCCCAGCAAAACTAATAAGCCGACAAAAACTACGTTAGAGATAGTTGTACGTGAAATCCACGGAAGATTTGTGAATGGAATCCACTTACATATTGGCTTCTGTTTAAAGTTTTGTCTCTGGATTTCAGCGACCACCAGTTGACAAATTCTGCAATTATCCAGTGCACAGTTTGGTCCCGTAATGATCGTGGTGAACCTTGTACGAAAATGTCTTACAAATCGAAGAAACTATATGCTTCAATTCTCATTGATTTATTATCCATCTGCCCCTCCAATTTTGATTGCAAGAAATTTATTTTGCGTTGAATATCCCAAATCGGCCAAATTGCTTTTTTTTCAAACCCTTTTAACAACGCAAAAGTGCGGGCCAGCGAAATAATAACGACCTCTTGAGTTTAATCGTTTTCCATGATATCAATAAAACCGTCAAAAATGCTTGTCATAACGTCAAAACTTTCTTCTGGAGAAAAAAACCCAGCGAAAAGGTCGTGCGACTCTTTTTCAAAAGTCAAAATAACAAAACTACTCCTCTCAGTTTAAAGCTCTCAATTTCGGCTCTTTTTCTTTCTTCGCCACATCGCATGATGGTCATTTTTTTTGCGGAAACCAAAGTATCTTAGTATCAAAACCAAATATGCTTGTCTTGGCCTAACCTGGCCGCATGCCTTTTTCATAACAATCGGACAATGAAAAACGTGTTAAAGAAAATTGGCAAGTGTGGGTGGAAATTATAAAGAGCCTGGCTCTCTGTTTTTCATTTTTTATGAAAATTTTTCACTTTTATTTTTTTCTGAAAATTACTTGAAAAGTTTTTCTTGCTTGAATTTAATTTGAATTGGATTGGTTTTTTTGCGGCTTAAGCTTTGATAAGACAATACGATAAATTTATCCTTTATGAAATGTAGTTGTCAAAATAGTCCCATTATCAGGTAGTCCATACTCTTCTCTCCATGAATTTTGCAAAAAAAACTGATGACAAATGAAGCCCTGGTAATCCTAGGAGAAATTATACAAAAAACTTGACAAAAACTGATAGTTAAGAAAAACCATTTGCCTTTTGCAGAACAAACTACCCAATTGATTGAAAAATACTGACAAAAACTGCCCGGGTTGACCTCCATAGACCAAAAATGCTAATCATACAATTTCATAAACTACGTCTTTGCAAAAATACTAGTCATACAAATTTCATACATTCTGACTAAATGGTGTCATTGAAATTTCGAACAACTTTTTTTTTGTTTTAGCATAAAATTCTGTGTATCGTACTAAATAAAAAACAAAAATTTTTGTCAAAAAAATGCTAATCATACAATTTCCATAAATTGCCCCCAAATTTTTTTTGTCATTTTGTTCAACCGCAAAATGATTTTTGTACTCAAACAATTATTTTTGGAAAGGAAATTTGCTTGCAAAATTTATTTTTTTTGCGTGTATAACGTAGTCCTGGATATACTAATATTGGATTTTTTTTCCTTATCTCTTCAGAATTTTTTTTTCAAAAACGCTTAAAATTCCTCTTTTTTATGTATGACACGTTTCTGTATGCCTTGATCAATGTCTGGTAATTTAAAAATATAAATTTTGGAAATAATAATTTTTGAAAATTTTCGCCAAAATTCAAAAGTTCGTTACTTTCGTTATTTTATTTGTGTGAGACAGAATTATAAAATTTCAGGCAGTTTCCAATGCATTTTTACTGCGTGACGGCCAAACCTTTGGTTACTACGTTTGAGTAACCAAGATTTATGTCATTCATGTTTGGTTACGAACACAACAAAAATATTGAGAAAGTAAAAGGTAAAAAACCAATAATTTTTGGTTTAAGGAAAAATGCTAACCGTACAGTGTTCATATATAAAAAAACACTGATCATAGACCTTTCATGCATTTTTCTGTACTTATGGAATTGCATCAAAAAGGTATGATTAGCATTTTTCCATATATGAAAATTGTATGACTAGCCCTTTTGGTCAACGCTGGTAGACAGAAAAAAGTTTAGTTTAATGCTTTAAAAATGAAATACGGTTTTTTCTTCGTTAACGTCAAATTTTGGCTTCTAACATTATCTTTATTCGATGAAAAAACGTTTTAGTAAAAAAGAGCTGGACGAGTTGGTAAGAAAATGCTCTCGGCTGGAGGTGGACTTGAAAAAAAAAGATGAAGAGCTCAAGAAGTGGGATCCGATATTAAAGAAGTTGAGAGAAGAAGAGGAAAAGCGAGGTAAAAACACGTGTCTCCTTTTTAAGTTGTTGAGAAAGGTAACAGATTCTGTGAAACAGACCACTTTGACTAAAACCGCAACTGAATCTGATTTGAAAGTCATTTTAGGTGAATTTTGTCGATGGTAAAGATCCATGCCAAATAACTGAATGGTAAATTCTATGAGTTTTACATATCAATTTCGGTTGCTAGTTGTATTTTTCATAAAAAGAGTTAAGAAGAAAGCTGATTGTCGAATTAAATGCAAAAGTCTGCATATATACGCTAAATAATCTTTCTAATCGGATAACAAGCTGTATATAATCCAATCCGTATATGATTTTTTAAAATCAATATGTACCTAATCTGTATACAAAATATACAAAGTCTGAATAAAATAAGATAGAGATGAACATTACTTAACAGCATCAAATTTACAGAAAAGTTTTTAAAGCTAGAATGAATCAGTTTCAATACTCCCGCAACAGATTTTTTTGGTTAAAAATCAATTATGATGGAAAAAAGTTGTCTAAATATTGTCATAAAGTATCCATTATTGTTCAAAATTGGCCAAAAAAGATTGCAATCGATTATAACAGACTTTTATACAGATTTAATTCTGGTAAAAATTGATCGTGTGTAACTCAATTAGACACTAAATTGTATTTTATTGTGTACCGGATCCTAAGGAGGGCCCTGTTATAAATTTGTTTACAAAATTCCTTCTAATTCCAACTTTTGGGGTCCTAATTATTGATTCTGGTTAGTTATATGAACCATTATAACTGTTATAATTGTTTCGGGCGAATTATCTTCGACCTAGTTGAAATTTGTTAGTGAAAAAGGAATTGGCTTCTATGGTAAATAATAAAAACTTTTGCCAGCGATTTTGGCAGCGTAGCTTAACTGTTGCAGCAGTAATTTATTTCCCCAACTTGTGCTTTTTTTTGTGTTAAAAAAGCATTAAATTGAAATCACTCTCTAAAGGCGGCGGCCGTTTCTGGGCAAATTATAGCAAATAATAAATTTGTCAAATTTTGAAATGAGAAAAACGAAAGAAGAGGGAACTTGCTGTACTGAAGGTATTGATAATCAACTTACATAATTTAGAGGGTTTTCAACCACAAAAAAAATCAAAAATCAAAGCCGGGGAGGAACAATATGCCGTGTTTCTCGAGAAGTGAATGGAAGTATCAATAGGGAAAGGACGAGTGGAAAAAGTAAACGGGAAAACTAATATGAAAAAATGCACCGAGCTCTTTGCAAAAATTTGGTGCAATTTTACAAAACAAAAGTGTTTCCGGCAGTTCATTTGGTTATTTACCGCCGGAAGCTAGACAAGTCTTAAATTATATGCTAGGTATCTTCTTATCTCCACTGGCTGACTTCTAGCAGGTTGAAGAGGCGTGGAAAAAACAGTGAAAGTGGGAAACATCGAGTTGCTCCGTTTGATTTAGAAAAAAATTAAGAAAGGTATACTTCTTTTATACAAACATATAATGACAAATTTAGGCGAAGAAACTTGTTCTAGCCTTTTCTCAGCTTTTGTAAGCTCCAATAAAATTATTTGCGACGTTTTAATTAAGTGAGACGTTATGGCGACTTAATTGGTATCGAAAATTGTTCCTTAGAAAAACATTTGAACGACTACAAGTTTTTCATGATTTTACGCTTTTTTTGCAAGATGCAGCAGGATTGAAATATAATTTGCTCAGGAGTGTCCAACGTATTGTTATGGATTTCCCAGGAGTTTCATACCCTAATTGACCATACCCGAATATGATCACATACCCTAATATGACCACAAAACATCGATCTCGAGTAAATTTAATTCTCTGCTGCCAGAATATTAATTGGAACTTTGAGGGCTATCAGCAAATTTTCAGCAGTCTCTTTTTAGTTAATGGCCTTGAGATTGGTTTCACGGTTTGAATAGCATTCAACTGAGCCGCGCAGTAATTCAAGGAGTACTTGCTGACTTTCCTAATTGCCTATTTATCATTTACTAACTGATTTGATTACCTAATTATTTTCTGTGTTGCTTATCCTGTATTTACTTTTTTTCAGATATTTCCGAACTTAATTTACTTATTCTACCTAACTTTTAACTTTGTTTTTTCATTCACTTTTGAATCAACCTCTTTTCAATTTTGCTTTCCCTTGAACGTACTTGATTACTTTCATGCTTCTACATGCTTTAATTTACTCTGTTTCATTTTATTCCACTCAATTTATTTAAGTTTTTTACTTTACCTCACATTACTTATAATAAAGAAACTTAATTTAATACTTACTCCTTGGCTGACTTACTAACTTACTTTTTGCCTACATGCTAACATAGATACATTTAACATACATGCATACAAACATACACACATACTTGGATACATTAGTTTATATTGTCTAATCTTACTTCTTTTATTAATTCACTTTTCTTTCACTACAGGACTAAATTTTACTCAACATCACCTAAATAACTTTATTTTGTTGTTTTTACTGAATTTTGGGTTATCTTTTACTTTTTTTATTTTTGCTTACTTCATCTTTTTTTCGTTTACTTTACCGAATCATCTACTCACTTACTTACTTACTTACTTACTTACTTACTTACTTACTTACTTACTTACTTACTTACTTTCTTACTCACTTAATTACCTACTTACTTACTTACTTACTTACTTACTCGCTTGCTTACTTACTTACTTACTTATTTGCTTACTTACTTACTTATTTACTTACTTACTTACTTGCTTACTTCCTTACTTACTTATTTACTTACTTACTTACTTGCCTACTTTCTCACTTACTTACTTACTTACTTATATACTTACTTATCTTTTTACTTCTTGCTCACTTATTCATTTACTTACCTATTGACAAATTTTCTGAATTCTCTACTCTTTACTTAATTAATTACTTACTCACTTACTTATTCACCTAAGGACTTTTCTATTTATTTACTTAGTTGCTTACTTTTTACTCACTCACTCACATACTAATGACTTACCAAATTACTAATTTACTTAATCGTCCACCTACTTGTCTACTTCTTGCCCACCTACTCACTGATTCACTTTCTGAATTACTTACTTTCAACTTACCTATTTACTTATTTACACACTTACTTACTTTTTTACATATTTACTTGCCTACTTGCTTTTTCACTCACTCACCTACACACTACTGACTTACTTTATTATTAATTTACTGAATCATTCACTTACTTACTTACTTACTTACTTATCTTGCTTAAATACTTACTTTCTTAATTACTTCTTATCTGTTTTACTTACTTTACATAAAGCTAATTAAGTTAAGCCTATTTTGCTTAACTTATTTTTTATTTACCTATTTAATCATTTTTTACTGAACTTCTCTTCTTTACTTCACTTAAGCTTACTTACTTCACTTTAGCAATACACTCTTATACGTACCTTGCAATACTTTTTTTCTTTTGTTCACTTTACTTTGCTTGACTTTACTTTTTCTAATTTTACTTTTCTTATTTTTTTTTACTGTATTCACCTAAACTCACAAAAAGTTTACTGATTTTACTTTATCCTATTTTTTTTTTACTTTATCTTCTCTTTGCCTCACTTCACACTATTTTACTTTTTTTTAGTTTAGTTTACCTAACTTACTTAGCAATACTTCATTCTAGTTTAGTTGAGATAACTTCAATTCCTTTTCAAATATTTCTTTACTTAGTTTTGCTTTCTTAACTTCTGTACTTGACTGTACTTAAGCTTTGTTTCTTAACTTTTTCACATAAAATTACTCTATTTACTTACCTAATTTTACTTTAAATTACTTCTCTTTATTTTTACTTAGTTTAATCTAAGTTCACTTCAATCTATATACCTCTACCTACTTAGTTACCTGCTAGATTACTACTTTACCTAGATACTCAAAGAGATCCTTTCCTACCTACTTTCTTATATATCTGTATAAAAACCTAGACACACACTTTTTTAAGTTTCTAAATACACAATCCCATTATTCAATTAGATGTTGAAAGTATCAATGTTTTTAGTAACAAAAAGATATTTCAATTCCTGTAAAGTACCTAAATCCAAAAACGGCAGTATTGATAGATAATTTGAAAAGTCAGGGATTAAGCCAATTTTGTTTATAAATAACCATATCTATGTGTAGTGACACCTTTATTTCAATAAAAAGAAAGTTGAAATTTTAAATGGTGTGTTGGTTAGAAAGATGTACGGAGGGATAGCTAGATCTACCAACGGAATGATGGCTGAATTAATGGACGGTTTGATGAGTGGCTGGTTGGGTCAAAATATGATTGGATGAATGAATGGCTGAAGGTATGAACAGTTGAATGGACGGTTAGATGAACAGATGGTTAAATAGCCGGATAGCAGGATCGATCAGACTGATGAATAGCTGGTTAGTTAGATGTGTAATGGCTTCAAATACGCTTGGATAATTGAGGGTTGAAGGATGGCTTGATGGATGTATATTTTTATGATAGATGGATGGCCTAATGATGTATGGATAGCTTGATAAGTTGATTTTTGTGGATGGAGTGTTGGTTAGATAAATGAAGGAATCGATGTTTGGATGGATAATTGGATTGTTGGACTGATCGAAGACTGATAGATTAATGAATAAAAAGATAATTGGACGATCACTTGCTGGATGGACAATGGTTGGCTAGATGATGCACAGCTAGATGGTTGATTGGCAGGATGGACAAACTCTCGGCTGAGTATCTTGATAAATGACTGAATGGAGAGTTGGCATGAAGGAGATGGATGACAGGATGTATGGTTTGCTGGGTTGAAACATACGTGGTTGAATGGCTAAATAGTTAGCTGGATGGATCAGCTACTGGATTCTTAGCTGTCTGAATGGATGGATAGCTTGGTGGACGAGAAACCAACTGATTGTTGGACGTATGGTATGGATGGTAAGATGGATCAAAAGGAGCAATAATGGCTTGTTGGATGAATGGATGTTTGGGTGACTGGGTAGTTAGATGGGTGGATCTACTGATGCCGGTTGGATGGGTGACTGATTGGATAGATAGTTTTGTGGA